TGTTGAGGACTCATCAGATGGATGACGGAGATCCTCTGAATATTGCACTTGGTGCCGACTAACTCGAAGGACCACCCACTGTCGTGGGACTAAATGAATTGCTAGTACTCTATTTGTAACGCGCAACCTAACCGTTACGCGTATCTCTCTATGTCTTCTGTTCTGTTCTGTCTGAAAGTCTAAGGTGTTCTCTTCTGAAGCTCTAAAAATGTTCTGTCTCTTCTGATGTTCTGTGCTTTCTGATGTTTGGGCCTTACCCTACTCCCCTTCGTGGAGTCGGAAAAACCCCGGCCATCCCTTCCAATGTGCCCGAAGCACGTTGTCTCTGGTAGGGATGACTGCGTGGGCCGCTTGCGCTTGCGGGTGGAGGGGTGTTTGGAAAGGCCGGGAAAGTTCAGCTGGCCAGGATTGCCGATGCCGATATCTAGCGGCCGATTCTCTGGTCCCTTAGCCTTGGGGCTTTATGGTAAGGGTTTCCAGAACCTAAATGATGGCATGACCTTCATCATCCTAAAAACTATTTAATTTATGTGTCGAACCGGTCCGCTAAAGAAATTGCCATTGCCCTAAACGGATTACAAAAAACTCATAAATGGTCGCCCGTACCATAAAGCCATTTCCAAACCTCTTACCTTAACATCAAGTATCACTACGACGCAAAGTGGCGCCGAGTTGACGTTAGACAACGTCCGGGATGACGTTGAGTGCAAAGGGCTGATATTCAAAGGAGACTTGATACTTGTGTCCAGAGAAAATTGATATCGACAAAGGAAAATGAAATTAAAATTGATCTTTAAGTCCTTAAGAGAAATGTCACTTAAATTGCTAAAGCTGTGTTCAACAGCGAAAATTCCTGAAGGCTATTAAGTGGGCACAGTAAGTCCTAATTTACGCACGGATTGGGCACAAAAATGGAAAATTTGGGAAGTGGAGATACGATTATAGTTATTACATACATATAGTTATAATTATTATAGTTATTGTAGATTATAGTTATAGTAATTATAGATTATAATTATAGAGTTTATAGATTATAGTTATAGTTATCATAGATTATAGTTATAGTTATTTGTAGATTATAGTTATAGTATTTATACATTATAGTTATAGTTATTAGAGATTATAGTTATAGTAATTATACATTATAGATGTAGTTATCATAGATTATAATTATAGTTATTATAGATTATAGTAGTAGTTATTATAGTTATAGTTTATAGTTATAGATTATATTTATAGTTAAAATAGATTATAGTTATAGTTACTATAGATTATAGCAATAGTTACAATAGAGTATAGTTATAGTTATTATACAGATTATTATTATTATACAGTTACCAATTATGAACAACTGTAGAAACGAACCATAGGGCTCGAATAATCGTGCCTCCTCTTCCCAAATTGTCCATTTTTGTGTACAATCTGAGCGTCAATTAGGCAGACCGTATAAGTACTGTATATATTACTTTCTGTAATTTAAAGGGTATTTCGCCTGCTGTCGAGCATATTCTCACTTACTAGAACCACGTATTTTTACACATAGGTACATAATTAAATTGCAAAAAGAACGATTAACAAAACGTGTCGTAAAAGAATAATTTTTCAGAACAATAAACAAAATACACTCAACGGTAAAATTAAAGCAACGCTAATTTTCGGTCGAAAAATTGTCAGTCTTCGAATAGCCGTAGCTCCGTTACAAGCTGTCATAAAATAATGAATCTTCTTTTAAATGAAAGCTTGAAATCTCTACCTTGCGGCACCGTGTTCCAATTTTTAATATCACGCATCCCCGTGATCGCAGTATCCTAAATCTTGGAGCATGTCCGCGGCACTGAAAATCGCCACGATTTTTCTGGCGAAGTTGTCGTGTGCAGTGAACCGTTAATAATAGTATCAAAAATTATGAAAATCGTTCTATGCCGGAAAGTTTTGGTAACAAAGAATGGTTATGCAGCGAGAACTCCTGATAGCGCTGCTAACAGGGCAGGGTACAGTAAATTCTCTCAAATTGTCCCCGAGATGGTGAACGAGAATGGACAATTTGGGAAGAGGAGATGCGATTATAGTAATTATATAGATACAGTTATAGCTATTATAGATTATAGTCACCGTTTCTATCGTTATCGTGATCGTTTTTATAGGCACCGATTGTCAACAACTCGAATAATCGTATCTCCCCTTCCCACATTCTCCATCTTTGTGCACATTCTGAGCGTCAATTAGGGAAACTTCACTGTACTAATAAAATACGCTACTAAAATAATTTAACCAATTGCTAGGTATTTTCCTAGATACTTTTGACTTCAAAAATGTCGAAACTTTCATCACGCTTGCGAATTCGACGACCCGAAAATCGCAACGATACGCGCTTCCACTCGAAACGCACGAAGCTATGAATTGCGGCCAGCTTTTCGGCGAAAAATAGAACTGCGCGTCGCCGCGCCGTGGAAGCTAACGGCGGGGTGGCGTCGGTGAAAACAAATTGGTTGCGACGACAGGGCAGCACAATCAGCGGCGTGTGTCCGGTGCAGATAACCGAGAGCGTTTATCAACTCGCATGTCATTCGTTTGCAAGACTCCGACAAAGTAACTCGTGGACGGCTCGCGCGATTTCTTCGTGGCCAGCGGAGCAAAGTGCGAGCACCTATTCGACCTGGACCAGAGTCATTCGTGACACGAATTTCGGCGCCATGGCCAACAAAGATGGGAAGACGAAGCCGCAGTTCCCTTTCAAGCCGCCCGGACAGACCACGATCTGGAAGGTAGTCGAGGCCAAGGCCAAGGGCAGCGAAGGCCCGCCGATCAAGTTCACCATTCAAGAGCTACCCGAGGACAGATACGAAGAGGCTGTCGAGCACATGTGCAAATATTTCATCGCCGACGAGCCGATGTGCAACTGCTGGAGTGAGTTTACGTCGATTTCATTCGCATGTCGCTATTTGTGGTCACGACACCGGTGACCCCTGACCTCTGCGCGGCTTACAGAACACCTGAGCGATCGCTCGCTATGATTCTTTCGAAAATGTTTTACGTTTTTGCGGAGGTAGAGTAGAGTCTCAATAATCAACGCTCAGATTGCGAAACAAAAATGGACAATTAGGGAGGAGGATATAATATATAATTGTTGACAATCGGTAACTATAAAAGCGTTAACGATAACGATAAAAACGGTAACTATAATCTATAATGACTATAACTGTATTTATATAATAACTATAATAATAACTATAATCGCATCTCCTCTTCCCAAATTGTCCATTCTCGTTCACAAGCTTGGGGACAATTTGAGAGCATTTACTATACTGCGCCCTGTTAGCAGCGCTTTCAGGAGTTCTCGCTGCATAACCATTCTTTCTTACCAAAACTTTCCGGCATAGAACGATTTTCATAATTTTTGATACTATTATTAACGGTTCACTGCGCTCGACAACTTCGCCAGAAAAATCGTGGCGATTTTCGGTGACGTGAACATGCCCCGAGATTTAAGATACTGCGATCACGGGGATGCGTGATATTAAAAATTGGAACACGGTGCCGCAAAGGAGAGATTTCAAGCTTTTATTTAAAAGAAGATTCATTATTTTATGATAGCTTGTAACGGAGCTACGGCTGTTCGAAGACTGACAATTTTTCGGCCGAAAATTAGCGTTGCTTTAATTTTACTATTGAGTGTATTTTGTTTATTGTTCTGAAAAATTATTCTTTTACGTTACGTTTTATTAATCGCTCTGTTTTTCAATTTAGTTATATACCTGTGCGTAAAAATACGTGGTTCTAGTAAGTGAGAATATGCTCGACAGCAGGCAGAATACCCTTTAAATTACAGAAAGTAACATATACAGTGTTTGCACGGTCTCCCTAATTGACGCTCAGATTGTACACAAAACTGGACGATTTGGGAAGAAGAGGCACAATTATTCGAGCCCTGTGATTTGTTTCTATAGTTGTTGATAATCGGTAACTATAATCACTATATCTATATAATCTATATAATAACTATAACTATAATCTATAATAGCTATTACTATAATCTATAGTAACTATTACTATAATCTGTAGTAACTGTAACTATAATCTATAATAACTATAAAACTATAATCTATAATAATTATAATCTATGAAAACTATAATAACTACAACTATAATCTATAATAACTATAACTATAGTTTATTATATAACCATAATCTATAGTAATTCCAACTATAATCTATAACAACTACAACTTTAATCTATTATTACTATAAATATAATCTATAATAACTATAACCATAATCTATCATAATTATAATCTATAATAACTATAACTATATCTATATAATAACTATAACTATATCTATATAATATCTACAACTATATCTATATAATAACTATAACTATATCTATGTGTAATAACTATAATCGTATCTCCTCTTCCCAAATTGTCCATTTTTGTGCACAATCTGAGCGTCAATTTGGGAGATTTCGGGCACTGTTGGCGAATTTTTGACGTTGTTCGCTCACTTCGATGAACATTATACACGACCTGGAAGAATGTACGATGGAAACTGAGACTCTTTTAGGTCTAGTCATAAGTGATACACCGTCGGTCACGTTTCAACGTTCTTTGCATTTCTGAGGTTTTAATATTGTTTGCTTATTTTGGCTCACTATACACGAGTGAAAAGAATGCATAATCCCAGGCAAGAACACTTGTAGTCCGAGCGATACATTAATTTCTTTCCATTGTTAGTCAAGTTTGTATTTTTCTAGCATCGAACATTTAATACTGTTTTTAATTTTGGTTTACAATTCGAATCCGTGAGTATCTTTTAGGTAGAGTCATCAATTCTTTTCTCGAGAGATAAAGGGATCATTTGACGATTAGATGATGAATGATCCGATAAGAAATCGAATGTTGTTTGATAAACACAGTTACACAGGGGAAAACCATCGCCACGTTTACCACCGAATAATTTTAATAATTCTAATAATTTTAAAGTTTGATTAATATGGCCAACGAGATGAAAGTCGGAGCAACGCGTCCGTATTCTTCGCTGGACATCTCGAGGGTGTTGCATAGCTTAATGGCCAAGCCATCAATTTAAATGGTTGACGGTGACGTTTCGTTCGTTTATATCGTTGCGCCGCGATCATGTCGTAGTAGGTCGTGTCAGGTGCTTTTATTAATATTCAGCGTCGTCTTTTTAGAACAAGTGCTCGTTGATGAGCGACTCTCCGTCCGCCGACACCGGGGTCACTCACTTTTCTGCTCCTGTTTCCGCGCTCTGTCGCTTCCACAGATGTAAACAATTAAGCTGGCGCGGCTTCACAGCGACCTTTGACATTATCGCCACTGAATCATCCACAATTATGCGTAATTTTCCGAAAAATTTGTATCCCCGGTGACAAGCATTACGACGGATCCGATGACACGCGCGAACGAAAATTGTCGCGTTGCGAAAATAAGATCGCGTTTACGTATCCTGCCCCCTCTGTGACGCTATAATTTGTAAGATGACACGATGACAAATGGGACCGCGGCGCGGCTGTGTTTATGCCGTAATTGTACGTTCTTCGGGCGACTCAATTCACCAGAAATAGCACAAAGTATGGATCTCTGTGCACGCCACTTTGAGCCCCCCTATCGTGTTCACGTAACAACTTCGTTTAGCAATCACTACAACATTTCTGCTAGAATGTTACATTTTTTCATTTTTACGTATTTATATCTTTACATTTTCACAGCTTCATATTTGTGCATTTTTATGTTTTTATATTTCTATATATTTTCAGATTTTTACATATATATTTTTATATTTTTACATTTATATTTTTATATTTTTACATTTATATTTTTATATTTTTATACTTTTATATGTTTATATTTTCACATTTTTATATTTTTACATTTTTGCATTTCTATATTTTTACATTTTTGCATTTCTATATTTTTACGTTTTTATATTTTTATATTTTTACATTTTCAAATTTTTACGTTTTTATATTTTTGTATTTTTACATCTTCAAATTTTTACGTTTTTATATTTTTATATTTTTACATTTTCAAATTTTTACGTTTTTATATTTTTGTATTTTTACATCTTCAAATTTTTACGTTTTTATATTTTTATATTTTTACATTTTCAAATTTTTACGTTTTTATATTTTTGTATTTTTACATCTTCAAATTTTTACGTTTTTATATTTTTATATTTTTACATTTTCAAATTTTTACGTTTTTATATTTTTGTATTTTTACATCTTCAAATTTTTACGTTTTTATATTTTTATATTTTTACATTTTCAAATTTTTACGTTTTTATATTTTTGTATTTTTACATCTTCAAATTTTTACGTTTTTATATTTTTATATTTTTACATTTTCAAATTTTTACGTTTTTATATTTTTGTATTTTTACATCTTCAAATTTTTACGTTTTTATATTTTTATATTTTTACATTTTCAAATTTTTACGTTTTTATATTTTTGTATTTTTACATCTTCAAATTTTTACGTTTTTATATTTTTATATTTTTACATTTTCAAATTTTTACGTTTTTATATTTTTGTATTTTTACATCTTCAAATTTTTACGTTTTTATATTTTTATATTTTTACATTTTCAAATTTTTACGTTTTTATATTTTTGTATTTTTACATCTTCAAATTTTTACATTTTTATATTTTTACATTTTCACCTTTTTACATTTTTATACTTTTATATGTTAATATTTTCACATTTTTATATTTTTACATTTTCACCTTTTTTACATTTTGATACTTTTATATGTTTATATTTCCGCACTTTTATATTTCTACATTTTCACACTATTATACCTTTACACGTTTATATATTCGCATTTTTATATTTCTACATTTTCACATTATTATATTTTTACACATTATTATATTCTCGCATTTTCATATTTCCATATTTTTACATTTTCCGTGGAATTGCTCAAATGAATTGTATCGTTTCGAATTGAATCTACTCAGTTTTGTCACGAATGAACGAAACCCACTGATTACATGGTAGTCATAGTTTCGACGACTACAGTAAATCCCGTGTTCCAATCTCAACTTGTGATTAGCCGCAAGGTTATCGCCGGGGAAGCAGGAAGTTTCAAAATACGCGTGTAACAGCGCTCTCATCGAAAACATTACGCGATAAAGCCAGCAGCTTCTGCTAACGCACTATGCGCGCCGAATAGGTGTTAATATCTATTTGAAAAATTTAATTTCTTCCAATTATAAACATATTTAACATTTGCAAACGTGACAATAAGACTTTGATAACAAATACAGTAAAATCTCCCTAATTGATTCGCCGTGGAACCCTCCAGCTACCCCAATTTCCATTCGCCCTCTTGTTCTTGGACGGGTCCATCATGACCTCACATCAGGACCCCGCGTCAGGATCACTCCACAGTGTTAATTAAAAACGCCTTTTAGATGGGATCGAGGACCCGGTGTACGTGCAGTTCTTCAGGAATCTTTGGACGGAAACGCTGAAGGAAGGGTTGACGGTGGCGGCCTTCGTCGACGATCCAAATGGCGGCAAGCCGATACTCGCTGGCATGAACGTGCTCATGCTGAGCTGCAAGGACGAGGACGTCGACATGACAATTGCTGGCGAGGTTAGGATTGCAGATGCCGCATTCTGATTAATTTTGACGAGTTAATTTTGCTATTAAAACGCGAAGCTTCTTTGTTCGCCGAACATAACCTAGAAATAACCTTGACCTAAGACGAACATTACGAACTCGGTTGTGGTTTATGCCAAACTTGTGCACAAACATTAGGCTAAAATAATTACGAAAGGCTTTAACTTACGCTAGTTGTTTAGTATAAATGTCATTCTTCGTCGAATGCTGGGTCATTTTGACCCGCGAGCGACGAGACACCGGTTTCCAAAGCAAACTTTATTACGGGTCTAAGTGACCCCGCATTCGACTCTCGCGACCATCGAAAACGGTTCGTTTAACGTTTACATTTTTAAACATTTACCGAGTTGCTTGATAAAAATAAGAATGTTTAAAAATAATTTATTCGTTCGCGGAATGGTTTTGTTGATAATTTTTTTTTAAATAAAGAACGAGCGGCGTCCGATAATCTCGAAGGTCGTTTGACTTTTAAGTTAAAAAATCGGACAATAATAATCGAATCGCCTCACATTTGCCGTCAAGGTTATGTTAAGGTTATTAACGTCGCGGTCGTCGACGGGATTTCCAAACGAATGTTTAACGCTTGTCCGAATGCTTTGCAGTCGAAAAAAGCTGGGCAGCTGATGGTCGTGCTCATGGACCTGATGAAGAAAGCGAATATTTATGAGAAGTACGGCGTGGATAGATACATGGGTGCCATCGGCCTGTCGGTGCATCCGTCGTATAGGGGCGCTGCTCTGGGCAAGCATATTCTCGACGTCAGGTGAGGCCACAAAAGCCCCGCAATCATGCGTTGCTAGACAAACTTCGAAATTGAGCCTTGAGTCCTTAAGAGAAATGTCATTCAAATTGCTAAAGTTGTATTTAGCAGCGAAAATTCCTGAAGGCTGCTAACTTGACGCGATAAATCTTCATAATTGACGCTCAGATTGTGCACAAAAATGGACAATTTGGGAGAAGGAGAAACGATTATTCAGAGTTACCGATATTATTATATTTATTGTTATTGTATTATTATATATTTTCATTTTTATTATTATTATTTATTTATTATTACATATTTGTATTATTGTTATTTATTATATTATTATTAAAAACTCGCTGCAAGGCTCGAATAATTGCAAGTCCCAAATTGTCCATTTTTGTGAACAAGCTGAGCGTCAATTAGGAAGAATTTACTGGACACATGAATGATAATTGCATAGTGTATTTCTAATATATTAAAGTAATCTATTGTATTATGTAAAGTGTCGTAACGATTATGTGTCCTTTAAAAAGCAGCGTTGATATTGTACACAATTATGCATATGCTAATAAGATAGGTGAAAAATGATATTCAAAGCTGAATTGTTTCGTGGCGTGTCATCCTTGGAATCGTATAATATCGTGGCCTTCGGTAATGGCTTTCCTCTGTTTCTTAATAACAAATACTGTAAAAACAGAATTCACTTTATGAATAATTCATATTCAAATTGGCTGCAAATTTTTATCATTGTAGGACTACGTACTTATTTAATTTTCCTTGCTCACGGAAAATAATTTTAATTCCTGCACCATGCATTGTGTGAAAGGTGGTGCTCTTGCACCGTGTGATGCCATTGTCTCAAAGGCTTTATATAATTCATTGTTCACAATCCCATGAAAAATCATTTGATTTGAAATTCCAGGGTTGATGGAAAAAGTACAGTAAACTGTTCCTTTACACTCTTCGCCAAATGCGTAGGTTTGTTCCACCGAATCTCCGTCGAATAGAGGCGAATAGAGGGTCTTCTCCTAATGTCGTTGCATAGAGACGGGTTTTCTCCTAATGTCGTCGAATCGAGGCGCGTCTTCTCCGAATGTCGTCGAATCGAGCCATGTCTTCTCCAAATGGCAATCGAACGTAGGCTCGATATAACTCAACATAACTTCGCCGATATTTTCTTTCCAACGACGTACATAGCTTCTTTGACATTGTCCTTAATATTTTATATGTTAAGAATAGGTTTTTCTATTGCTTTTCTCATAAATAAATTACTTGCTACGTATAATGAATAAATTTGATCTGAAGCATGTCGTGTTTGGTATCATTTTAATTGGAAAAATCTGACTAATATATTAAAAAACATTTCACGTATAAAAGATTCGAAATAAAGAAGTTAAAGTCGTCGTTTTTATTCTAGCATTACTATGTATTCATAGTAATGGACACCGGCATGCTGGCCGCTGCCTTTTCAGGTAGTCTCGTTCGACCCGAATTTCGTCCTCTCTCTCTCTCTCTCTCTCTCTCTCTCTCTCTCTTTTTCTCGAGATCTCGGCAGCTATTAAGCTGACCTACAAGGCTCGAAGAATCGCGATTCAGTATTCTTATACTTATTATATATTATTATTATTATATTATATATTATATATTCTTATACTTATACTTATTATATATTATTATTACATTACATATTCTTATACTTATACTTATTATATATTATTATTATATTATATATTATATACTCTTATACTTATATTTGGTTACAATTCCAGCTCGGCGACATTTAGGGAGAAATTATTGTACCACAAAATCAGTTGAACCACGCATTCCGAAATTCTGTTATATTTTGTCTTTTATCATGTTTCATTGATCCGGTTTTAAGAATTAATTCTCACACTGTGTACTTCAGACGCCTCCAGTAAAAGGAATAATTGCTTCAGCTTCAATTGGAATTCATGGAATAAAGATAAGTCCCGGACCGTCGCGGTGGCCTCCATTGTCCGGGCGGGCTGAAAGCCCGCCAAGTTAGGGACCAGAGGCAGCCTCCTCGCGCGCGCGGCAGGATAAGAAAAGAAACGTCGGGGGACATCTCCGTTATCGAATGAAGCAACCGAGGCGTCCGCGTGCCGCGTTCGGCTTCCGGATGCAAGCCTTGTGTCACTCGTGGAACCGACTTCTCGACGGACCAATTAAAAAGACGGAGCTTGTATTAGGAGCGCGTTGGCTTAAATAGTCGCGACGTCGGCGAGCTGTCACTGTCGACCGCGTCGTCCTCGCTCCGACGAAATTCTAGTAGACTTGGTTGACGTTCGAATTAGTATCTCGCTGACAAAGGAGAAGAACCATACTGAATGCCCCCCCGACCCCGTTCTTCGTGCTCGACGGAGTGCGGATACTTAGGTGAACATTGATTTTGATAGTGTACGGTTAAATTTACATGCCGGTAAATCCGACGATTTACGTTCCACTTTTATAATCATTGCGTCGACTAATAGCTGAGATTTAGCAAGAGATATTTCCAGTCGATATTACAGTCGAATGAAAATATAATGATTGTTATGCAACAATCTTTTACATAATGATTGTAATTGCTACGGTGTTAGCTTTCATGGATGTTTACTTTCTTCATTATCGACTTGTTTGGGACCTACTAATTTTGTGTAAAAATATTATTTAACGCTCAGTACTGTCGTGTTTGGTAAAAGTAGATTAACTGATAAGCCAACGTCAAATCTGCCTCGCGAGGTCAGAGATAACGAACAAACGTTCATCTAAATCTGAGGCGTCGGTAATTCAGAGCGTCAACATGAACAGTGCTCCAATGATTAAATTAATTGTCTAATACTTGAGAATCTATTGTCTTCTTTGTTTGCAAAATTGAAATTTCGGTACGTCGCACGTTAGAAAATCACAAAAAGGTTGCAGAATATCGCATATGCGGAACAGGATTTTCGACGAATTACAGTAATTTTTCCCAGAAATGCTCGGAGCCCGGAATTGAAACCAGCAAATCCGAGAATACTAAGTCACGATTCTTTGGGCCTCACGACTCATTTTCATAGTATGCCGGTGTACATTAACACTAGATTTACGGAGCATAAAAGACAATTGTTTCATATTAATTTATAAAAGTAACAATAAGACATTTATTCTGATTTTTAACAAATGTTATTGTAACATTTGTCGTAAGCATTATATAAATTGCATAAATAACTCTTAAATGTATCTTTACGGTATGAATAATCATAAATTAAAAAATTAGTGACCCGTCATTTTGACGGGTTCCGTAAATCTAGCGTTAATATGAATACATAGTGATGCCGGAATAAAAGCGATGATTTAACTTTTTTATTTCTAATTTTTTGCCACGATTCGGAGGCAATTCGGAAGCCTCATGACCCGATTCGGAGGTAACTCGGTGGTCACGTGATACGATTCGAAGGTAATTCGACGATTATATACCTAGTATAGTAAACTCTCTCTAATTGACGCTCAGATTGTTCACAAAAATGGACAATTTGGAGAGAGGAGATACGATTATTCGAGCCTTGCGGCTCGTTTTTATAGTTGATGGTGATCGGTCACTATAAAATATATAATAATATCGGTATAAATGTAATAATAAATAACAATAATAATAACAATAATATATACTAATATAATAATAATAAAAATATATATTAATAATATAATAATAAATAATAATAATGTATAATAATATAATAATAATAAATATCGGTAACTGTAAATAATCGTATCTCCTGTTCCTAAATTGTCCATTTTTGTGTACAGTCTGAGCATCAATTAGGGAGAATTTACTATACTTACCACATACCTTGTACCTCAGCGGTTTTTCTTATCTGACTCGCATCCAAACAGACCATTTTATGTTGTCTTCCGTGAACTCCGTCGACCCTTAGCATCGACGTAGCAATAAATTACATAGGCGCGGGGGGGGGGGGGGGGCTCTAGCACATGGAAATTCACAGCAACCCGAAATTTGGCATTTTCGTGAGAAATTAATGTATTTACAAATTCGCAAATTACGTTTTTCACGCAATGAATCACTACTGAAATTTCAGCTGAGTTAGAGAGCCTGAAATTCGCAGTCCAGCCGTTCCGAATAGAAAAATAGCCGTATATAACTGCACAATGTGCACAAGCCGCGTGCTGCTTCCAAATTATTCAGACAGCCGTGAGAGCGGAGCGTTGCCACGCCAGAGCATGAAACGTCACGAACTTCTGCCGTAGGAACGACATCGGCCGCGAGTACAACATGACGGTGTCAGCGACAGCGTTCACCTCGCCGATCTCCCAGAAGCTGGCGGCGCGATGTGGCTTCGAAGACGTCTACAGCAAGGATTACGACGACATGCACAACGAAGAGGGGAACAAGCTGTTCCCGGGGATCAAGGCCAAGGAGCTGAAGGTCATGGCGAAGAGGCTCGATTAGGATCCTCTGTTCGAATCCTTTTCGGAAGTTTCCCCGCCACCTCCGACATCTGTGCACGAAAGATCCATGGAGAACTTCGAGTCGATCCTCTAACGAACGTCTTCCAGTTCGCAATTCCTGTTGGTCTTCGCTGTTTAGTGTTGGCAGACGTAATTTCGTATCGGTGATCCTGTTCCTCTCTGAGTTGGGCTGGGGACTGGTTTCCTCTCTGAAATCGGCGAAGCGGTGATAGTGAAATTGTTATACAAGGTATTCCGTAATTATGTTAGCAACCGGAATGAGGTGATTCCTGAGGTCATTTGGAGTAATTTTTTCCTTAGCGAAAATTCAATCCGCTGCTTCGTTTACCAGTTATTAACGAAAAACAGTGGCCAATGAGATGCGAGCTCGACTGGCGCCTCGCCCACGCGACCTCTGCCGCCACGTCAGACGGCCGGCGCGACGCGGCATTGGCCGCGGGGCGGGGAGCCGGCCGCACTCGCTCGCCGATTGGTCACCGTTTTTCGTTAATAACTCGTAAACGAAGCGACTGATCGCATTTCCGCTCAGGAAAAAGTTTCTTTAAATCACCTCAGGAATCATTCCTGAGTGTTAATATAATTATGAGCCATTCTGTAGAAAAACACGATGTAGTAATTTTTCTCACGTTGTTCCTCAGTTTGTAACAGAAAATGGGTAATTCGGGAAGAAGAGATACGATTATTCGAGCCTCGTGGCTCGTTTTTATAGTGCGCCGATTGTCAATAACTATAATAATAATATAATAATCCATTCAATATAATTTCAAATAATATAATAATCAATTAAATAATTTCATATAATATAATAATAAAGTCGATAACTGTGAAGACAAGCCCCGAGACTCGAACAATCGTATTTCCTCTCCCAAGTTGTCCATTTTTGTTTCCACGCTGAGGGAGAATGTGAGTGAGATTACTGCACTTCTGTTAATAAATTTGCCAAGAGACTATATTGAAATACTTTGGGCAGGTACTCCATCCTAATGAATGTTTTCTCTTTTCCTCGTTACCTGTGCACGACCCAAAAAGAACACGAATTTTTGTGTTCGAGAAGACTCGGTCCGACAGTCTGTGTATTGTTCATTATATTAAAATTTCAACGACAATAATTATATCGAAAGACATTTTCGTCTCAGTTTGATATGATTTAAAGAGTTGCAATATCAGATGATGGACTGTGTCTTCGAAACACTAGACAATTCTTTGTAAATATGAATAAAGCGTGTTTTAAGTTTAAGTAGAGTTGGTGATCAGTTTCCCATGTTTGACTCTTTAGAATAAATATTTATAAATAATAATTAGAATAAATATTTATTTGAAGAGATATTTTTGTTTCACGTATGATATATAAAAAATTCATGTCTAAAGACATCGTGTCCGAAAAACTTTGTCCAAAAGACTGAAGTTTAAAGACGTCATATCCAAAGAGCTGATGTCTAAAGACTTTTCGTCCGAAATACTGAAGTCTAAAGGGATGATATCTAAAGACATTTTGTTTTAAAAAACTAATATTCAAAGATTGAAGTCCAAAAGACTGACACTCAAAAAAGTCTGAAGTCCAGAAACTGACATCCATAATACTAACGTCCAAAAGACTGCTGTTTAAAGGTTGAATTCCAAAAGACTGATGTCTAAAGACTTTGTGTCCAAATGGCTGTGTGTGTGTGTGTGTGTGTGTGTGTGTGTGTGTGTGTGTGTGTGTGTGTGTGTG